TAAGTTTATTTCTTTGGGATGCCTAGAAGTGTGATTGCCAAGTCATATGGCAAACATGCTTGATTTTTAAGGCAACTGTCAAACTGTCTAGAGTGGCTATATCATTTTATATTCCCTACTGTGAATGTGTATATGTCTTCATCTGTGAAATAACTCTTTATGTCCATTGCCCATTTTCAATTGTTTTTTTGCTGTTGCATTTTGAGAGTTCTTTATGTATTATAGTTATGAATCCTTTGTCAGATGTGTGGCTTGCAAATATTTTTCTCCCATCTTTTCATCCTTTCACAGTCTTTCTGCAGAGCAAAAATTTTAAAATTTGTGAAGTCAAATTCATCAAGATTTTTCTTTTATGGATTGCTTTTGGTATCATGTCTAAGAAATCCTCACGAAGTCCTAAGTTCTTAAGATTTTCTCCTAATGTGTTATTATAAAGGTTTTATAGTTTTATGTTTTACATTAAAGTTTTCTACTTTGAGTTAATTTTTATGTAAAATACGAAGGTCAGGTTAAGATTCCTTTTTTTTTTTTTTTGCCTTTATATATCTGGATATCTAGTTGTTCCAGCACAATTTGTTGAAAAGTCTGTTTTTATTCCATTGAATTGCTTCCGTACCTTAATCAAAAATCTGTTTGGCTTACTTGTGTATTTCTGGGTTCTGTTTTTTTATTTTTTCCACTCATCTGTGTGACAGTCCTTCCCCCGTTACCACAGTCTCAGTGACTTTATCTCTAGAAATTATAAAATTGAGCATAGAGATTCTTCTCAGTTCTTTTTCAAAATTGATTTAGCCATTCTAGTTCCTTTGCCTTTCAATGTAAAATCTTTGAATAATCTTTTTTGAGACAGGGTTTTGCTCTTGTTGCTCAGGCTGGACTGCAATGGCATGATCTTAGCTCACTGCAACCTCTGCCTCCTGGGTTTAGGCAATTTTCCTGCCTCAGCCTCCCTAGTAGCTGGAATTATAGGTGCCTGCCACCACGCCCAGCTAAGTTTTGTATTTTTAGTGGAGATGGGGTTTCGCCATGTTGGCTAGGCTGGTCTCCAAACTCCTGACCTCTGGTGATCCACCTGCCTTGGCTTCCCAAAGTGCTGGGATTACAGACATCATCCACCGTGCCCTGCCATAATCTTGTCTGTATCTGTAAAAAACATCTTGCTGGGATTTTGATACATTAGCCTCTATAAGTCAATTTATAGAGAATTGACATCTTTACCATCTTGAGTCTGTGAACACATTATATGTCTCTAGGAATTTAAGTCTTCTTCAGTTTATCTTACCAGCATTTTATATTTGTTAGCATAAATATGCTATTGTGTTTCTGTCAATCAGTTGACTCTACTTACGGGTCTCTTTCAGGTTCTCTATTCTGTTTTATTCAACTAGGTGTCTATCCCTTGGTCAGTAACACACATTCCTGATTACTGTAGCTTATATAATAAGCTTATTGTATAAATAAAGCTTATTTAATGTCTGTAAATTGAGTAGCGTGATTCCTCCACTGTATTCTTCTTTTACAATAGTGATTTAGCTGTTACAGTGCATTCACATTTCTACATAAATATTAAAACAATCCTACATCCACAAAAAAGTGTTGCTGGGACTATATTAGGAGTTTTTTTTTTTAAAATCTATAGATCACGTTAAGGAGAATTGGCATGTTTACTGCATTGAGTATCCTAATCCACATTTCTTTGGTTATTTAGAACTTCTCTGATTTCCTTCATCAGCATTTTATAGTTTTCAGCATACAAATCTTCTGCATGTTTTGTTAGGTTTACACCTATTTCATTTTGCATAGAACCATTTGATTTCCATATAGTTATAGGGCTGTTCAGATTATCCCTTTAATACTGGGTAAGTCGGTAGTTTCTGCTTTTAAAGGAATTGGTCAGCCCCCATCAATTTGATTTCACACCCAAGTTGTCAAGTTTGTGTGTGCATGTTCTTTTTTTTTAAAGATGGGGCTTCACCATGATGGCCAGGCTGGTCTTGAACTCCTAACCTCAGGTGATCCACCCACCTCGGCCTCCCAAAGTGCTAGGATTACAGGCGTGAGCCACCGCATCCGGTGTGTACATGTTCTTAAGTATCTCTTATTCTTTTTAATCTCTGCATGGTTGGTGGTATCATGAAATGAAAAAATGGTATCCCCTTTTTCATTCCTCATTTTGGCAAATTTTGTCTTCTTTTTCTTTGTCAATCTTGCAGGGAGGTTTGTTAATTTTTTGACCTTTTCAAATAACCAGCTTTTTGTTTCATTGACTTTTCTCTATTTTTAAGCTGTCAATTTCATTGACTTCTGCACTTGGAATTTTCTACCTCCATTGACACCAGGAGGAGAGAGCTTCCTCCTTACTGGTGAATGAGGGTAGAAGTTTAGGCTCCTATCAGGTCTTTATTGACTACCTCTCTGACTGGGAAGGGCATGAATGCCTATTCACTGCTTCCTATGTATTCTCCACTGATATTTTGGGGAGTGGGGCCCTGGCTTCTCTGACACCACTGAACAGTGGGTAGTTGGGGCACCTAGTTTCAGCTAGGCCTTTTACTGGGCCTTTGCTGGAGAAAAAGAGGGGGATGTTTTTTCCTGTAATGTTTAGCTGAAGTAGAACCCTTATTTTCTAAAATCTTTCTGCCCCTTTCCTGTTTCTTTGGGCAGAGAGAGCAAGGCTTTGTGGGCTTTTTTTGTTTACCCCTCTTGGTGTTTCTGGGTTACTGGCTTTCTGAGCACCCATTTTGGAATATGTGAGACAAAAAGAAAACCCAGTAAACTTACCACTCTGTGTATCCTTGGGTCCTGAATTGGCAGTCTCTACCTTTCACAGTCGTCTTGTATTATATAGAATGTCTAGAGTTCTTAGCTGTGTGTAGCCGAAGGCATAATGAAAATTAGATTTACTTCATCTTTCTCTTTCTGAAATGCATTGCAACATCTTTCCAGATTTCAGGTATTAATTCTTTGCCAGTACTGTGTGTTTAGATAGCTCTTCCAACTTGGGGCTTGACTTCTCACTTTGTTCATGGTAATATTTTCACCAGTTGTAGTTCTGTAACAAAGAACTGTAATAAAGTTCTGTAACAAAGATGAATATATTAATCTTTTCATTATAGCTCTTGCTTTTTGTTTCTTGCTTAAAAATTTATTCCAATAATTTTGTACTCCAAGGTCACAAGTATATTCTCTCACATTTTCTTGTGAAAGTTTTTTTTAAAGACAGAATATTGCTCTATTGCCCAGGCTAGAATGCAGTGGTGCAATCTCTGCTCACTGCAACCTCCACCTCCTGGGTTCAAGCGATTCTCCTGCCTCAGCCTCCTGAGTAGCTGGGATTACAGTTGTGCACCACCACACCCAGCTAATTTTTGTGTTTTTAGTAGAGACAGGGTTTCACCATGTTGATCAGTCTGGTCTCGAACTCCTGACCTTGTGATCCGCCTGTCTGGGCCTCCCAAAGTGCTGGGATTATAGGCATGAGCCACCACACCTGGCCTTTGAAAGTTTTATAGTTGTTTATCTATTCAAAATAGTAATTTTTTGAATCAGATAAAGTAGGGATCTAATTTAATTCCCCCCCCCAATAGTTGTTCCAGCAGCATGAAAAGTTCATCCCTTTTCCCACTGATTTCTAGTGAGACATCTGATCTATATAAAGTATATGTTTATGTAAGCCTTATAAATATCACACCATTTTAATTGTTACAGCTTTATAGTAGGTTTTGTTATTTGGTAGGCATGTCCCCACAGCTTGTCAAAATTCTATTGAAATCTCTGTTGGGATTGTTACTAGAGCTGCATTGAATCTATAGATATGTTTGTGGGAGCATTGTCGTCTTTACCATCATGAACATGCTTTCTTCATGATTTAGATATTTTTTAATATTTTTAATTATAGCTGAATACTTTTCTGCACAATGACCTTCACAGTCTTTTGAAATTTATTTCTAAGTACTTAATATATTTTTGTTGCTATTGTAAAACTTTTTTAAATTAAATTTTTATTTATTTCTATATACAAATGAAATTGGCCTTTGGATTACTTTGCATTTGTTCTTATGCATTTCATTAAAAAAATATATCTGGGAACCTTATTGCAGTCTTCCTTAGTATAAATTATACAGCATGAAGTTTATATTAGAGTTTTAATTCATTTGGTATTTTTTATTGTTTACCAAGCACTATGAAAGACTATTCTTTTTTGTTTGAAGGAATAATATTTGCATTTGTTAAAAGGAAATGGTATTTCATAATCTCTGCGGAGATTTCAAACAAAAGGAACATGTCTCTTTTCTGCTTCCAGAAATCCTAATTTTGTAAGTCTAGAGAAAACCTTAGCTCCTTGTTTTGTTTT